AACCACCGCCGATTAGAAGGTAGACTTTTCTGGGGGTTTAAGTGTGTTTGTTGGCCCTACGACGCCTTGATGAGTAGGATGTGAAGGGTGCTTTCTCGACTTGACATATTTTTTATCGAATGGGAATTTTATTTCGTTGGAAGGATACGATTGAACCAAAAACCACAATCAGCGATGGGTGCTTTCTGAACAAGTGTCGATGGGGCACGTTAGTTATTGTCAATTTTTTCTTCAGACCATCTTTTGAAGTAAACTGATTTTCCAACTTTTGCAATATATGTACTCGTATAATATATGTACAAACTTGCGATACTTTCAAGTAGCAAATTCCCGACCGTCACTCTGTTCCTGACATTTGTTTTGCCTCGATTCGATGAAGTCAAACGTCACTTTGATATTTACCTGTCCCGGAAATATATAGAGAAAAATTACAATCTCCTAGGGAAACTTTTGATACCGAAGGTTTTCCCTTCTTAATAAATCACGGTTCATCAACAGTGAATGAATTTACAGAATACAGAATACATTATGTTTACAGAAACGTTGGTAATGGAGGATTTGGAAATAACTTTCTCGTCTTATTTTTATCAAGCATCGCCCGGTATGAAAACGATGCTCAATCAATACTCAGCGGCTAAAAAATTAGATGCATTACGTAATCTAAATTTCATCACTAATACACAGGTACGCTATACTTTATTTAAAGATATTACGTATGATCTCTACTAATTAATTTTATTTCTACGTATAACGAAATTAAGCTTACTTTGGCACGCTCGCAAGCCATTTAAAACACCCCTTTTCAGAATCGCATTAAATTAAAGTAAGATTAAATCGAGGATTAAATGGATGCGTGAGCTACATTCATACCCGTGTAATTATTAAAATTGCTGACAGTTTTGGAAAGTGTGCAGTGTCTACTTGTTTTCCAGCCAGTAGTAAATACGGCATTAAAACACATGTATTTTTTATTCATGGAAGCATCTCGGAGTAACGATCTCCGTTTCGGGAGGGGCACAGATGGGGCGCGATTTAGAGGCATTTTCACTTTAAAAATATAGGGAAAGAGAATTTTATTTTGAAGTTTCGGTTGGGCCAAGTATGTATTAATATACTTCTGTGGACGTAAATGGCATGATGTTCTGTTTGCGACTGTCTCCCCTTAAGGCTCGACATCATTCATGCAAAAGAAGTCGGAAAGTCACAATTTAAATTGTGTGTTTATGAAATCCTTCGACTGAAAATGGAAATATAAAGTAGAAGATAACTGCAAGTGGCAGCTCTTAATAATATGAAGCTTCTGAAATAATTTCGTAGCCAGACGTGAAATAAAGTTGGCGTGCTTTCAGCCGGTGTCAACTCTAACGCAAAAGTAGCCGTCACATGCTTACAAATGAATCTGCTAAGTGGTAGTGTGAGATTCCATCTCATATTTTTAAGCAGATCACCGGAGTACGCGCGAGCGGTATTTGGTACATTTATCAAATTCCAGCCCGCTTTTGAGCCCAAATTTCACTACCTTTCATAGGTCATACTATCTTTTCCCCTTCTGTATACTTTTTCAATCCATTTATTTAAAAACGTCGCCGAATTTGCACAATTTGCTAAATAATTTGGACAATCCAGTTGACAAGCAATAAAGATCTTTTAAAGATATTTAATTAAAAGGACGATTATTTGGGTTTGCTCTTTTCTTGTTTTATGAGCACGTTCCCCAAACGTGAGTTGGATAATTTATAACGGCGGCGTCGGGAAGAGTTAAGCCATCGAATTACTACGAGACGTTTCCCTAAAATTTTATTCAACTGCATTTTATTGTAAACACGACCAAACGTCTGTCATCCGATGGAATTGTCACGACCAAAAGAACCCGGTCTCCGGTTAGCGCATTGTGAATTAAAATCTTGATGGGAAAATGGTGTTATCTGTCAAACTATTGATTCATGAGTTCGGTTTTATTACCGAAAACCACGTTTCGCACCATCATTACTAAGTTTCTTACGCGTTATTAGCTACGGCAACATATTTTTAGGCTGAGAAAGTAATTAGAACCGCATGCGCACATGAAAAGATAAGGTTGGAGAATAGATGCAGCGGAGGAAAACATTTCTAATTAACCACGGGGGAGAAAGTAAATTAATCAAACGTTTATTAACGAACCTAGAAGCTGTTTTAGGCGATTTTGTCTTGCTGTGCTAGTTTAATTGTTTCTGGGCCGTTTGTTTTGTTGCATTACGACCTGTACACTGTACTAAATTTTTTGCCTCGTTAAAACCCATGCATCTGTGGTTACGGTTGTAAAACGAAGTAAAGCGTTTGAGAACAACATTACGTGTCCGTCTCGTGACTGGCAAATAAAATAAAACAAACGCGAATTTCATAACGAGCTTGTTCTTCTTTGCTTATTACTTTGCTTTTATGTTTTTCATGTCAAATGAAACGTTAGTGTTTACTCATTTTCAAGATTTCTAAATTTTCGGTACAAAAGAACCATTTGCTTGTTATGTCGTCAGTCTTTAGTTTCACCTAGAACCGAATATTGGTTTTTCAAACCACGAAGAATAAAAAATGGGAAAGGATTCCCATATTTACTTAAAATGGCAAGTAAAAAATGTGCGCAATAAGTTTTTGTTGCGTTAACTTTGGGCAAAAGTAACAAAATTACCAACAAAAGCAGCAAAAGGGAAAAGGTGATCATGTGGTCAGAGAAATTTTGGTGCAGTCGATTTTTGGTAAAAAATGAAAGTTGTACACTGCATTTTTTTGAGACCCTCAAAAAAAATTGGCTCAGATCGACCCGGAAAATTTTTCTTATAGAAAATGGCCTGTGGAATCCAGAATTTCAAACAGTTCCAAGATTGGGCTACTAGTTCAAAAGTTACAGCCCTTTGAATTTTCTTTCGAAATTGGTTTCTTTTCTAGTCTATAACTTTTGATTGAGAAGTCTGATCGAAAAAGTACGAATTGTTTTGGATGACCAAAATTCCCGAGAAATAGTCGATTTTTGGTAAAAAAGGAAGGTTATACACTGCAAAAAAAAAATTAGATCGACCCGGAAAAAAATTTTCTTATAGAATGTGGCCTGTAGAATCCATAATTTCAAACAGTTCCAAGATTGGGCTTCCCGAGAAATTGGTTTCTAGGATTGAGAAGTCTGATCGAAAAAGTACGAATTGTTTTGGATTCTATGCACCAAAATTAATAAGAAAAAGTGTTTTCCCGAGAAATTTTGGTGCAGTCGATTTTTGGTAAAAAATGAAGGTTGTACACTGCCTTTTTTTGAGACCCTCAAAAAAAATTGTCGCAGATCGACCCGGAAAAAAAACCTTACCTGTAAAGCACAAAAAGTCTTCTAAAGTGCCTCAAAAATCATAGTACATTTTTAACGAAAAAAGTTTAACAATTATTTAAAAAATAATTCGCCGTTAAGTGTTAATGCCAACAGGTTTCCGCAGAAAACAACGGAGCTATAATCGTTAAATGAATAGCAAACAAAGGTAGTACCAATTCGATTGTATCGAAAACCAGTATGTAATCAAGGAGTCGTCGAAAATAAAAAAAAATTCCTTTTGAACTACAGATCGCAGAGGCCTTTTCGAGCTCAATAAGGGTGCTTTCTGCCAATCTGTAGCAGACAACAACACAAACAAAAAATAAGACGGATAGTGAACAGCGCGGCACATAAAATATTGCGAAAGCAATTTTAACGTCCTACACTCGGCAATTAATAATTCAACTTACGTTAAACTAACCAAAAGCAAAATTTTCACTTGACCACGGATTGCTCGTACAATCGGTGATTATAAGAGGTTACTGGTAACAATATACAAGGTTCTGGAGACATTCCTTTGGAGAGGTGATAGAGTAAGAGGTAAGGAGCAGATTTAACCACAGTATGGGTTATATAAAACTCACTAAGTTTTGAGATATGTCGTGCGTGTATACGCAATAGAGGTTCCCATTTAAACAAGACTTGTAGAAATTAGATGTTAACGTTCTTATTCTTTTATTGCCATTTTTTCTTTAAATGTTTGTTGTAAGATTTGCACCTTGCTAGATAGCTGTTACAATAAGCAAGTTTTTTAAATTATTTGTACCTAAACTGCATTGATGTTTATTTGAAAATAATCTTCAAGAGTTTTCGCAAATTAAGTTTTTCTTTGAAATTTTCACACGATCGAAATGCTTTTGTACTTATTTTATTCAAAACGAAAGACCATATGGTTGGATATGTACTCCAGCAAAAAAGTTCCAAAAAATGAAACTATATTTCTTGAAAATTACAATTACATTTTTAAGAAAAACGAAAAATTGAAATACCTCGGAACCTATTAGGTTTTGTATTGTACATGTTAAATTTGCTCCTTATATCTTATACTATCAGATCCCCAAAGGAATGTTTCCAATTACAAGTATCCCATATATGAATTTTATTAATTTATTTTTTATTTTTATTTTTTAATTTTATGAAAGCATAAATGTGATTTTAAGTTCAACACAACTACTTAATGATACACAAGTAACTAAATTTCTGTTCAACAGCAACGCACTCTAACCATTTCAAAATGTAAATCAGATAACATGAACAAATTCTTTGGAGTAAAACAAATTGTGGTAGATACACAGCTCTGTCCTCAGTGTCCAATGTTGGTAGAATGAAGCAGAATTTCGTGCTTGAATTGACGATATTGACAGTGGGATTTTCCTAATGAATTTTCCTTGCGCAATATTGAGAAAATCCAAAATTCTGTAGACAGACTGCGAGATGCGAAATTCCTATCTTCTATTGACCTCAAAAGTGCATACTGAAACTGCGTAGATTTATCGGTTTCCAGGACTTTAATTTGTAGTTTTTTCTCTCTATCTCTTCCATTTTCGTGGGCCACCCTGTGTATAACGTGTAGGACACATCAAATCGTCTCATACATTTTAACCTTGGACTTAATCGCCACTTGAAGTTTTTTATGACACACGATTTTTCGCAAGTAAAATGGAAATAAAACTAGGCCAAAAAGAAGCAGATCGCATTACGTAAAAGATGAAGTTCGCCTTTGTTTTGCTAGGATTTTTGAGTTACCAAATTCTCTCGCTATCGGCACGAGCACCTTGGGCCTCAGTGTCAGGTAAGCCAAACAATCGTCGGACTAATACTTTAACCAGCTTCTTTCAGAAAGATGCAATGTAGGATTTCCTATTTGTATTCCATTTGGCCCTTCCCCGGTTCAATTCTGTTTATACGTTGAAAATAAATCGTCCTGGGCTAATAAAATGGTCGGATTCTGTGTATATTTCGCCTTCAACAGTTTCATCTTTAGCGACTACGTTAAACTGGGCTGCATTGAAATAGGGACGGATATTGGGATTAATTTAACATTTGACTTCGAGAGAACATTTAACTTGATTGGATTTAAATAGAAGATTTGTTCAAGGTTTGCGCATTTCTAGTTAGAAATGTTTTTCACATTGGTTTAAATCGGTTTATTATATGTGTTAGTAGAATATCTAAGCGTATCTCTATGTACAATGAGCGCTATTAGGGGGGCCTCGATAAACTGTAACGCACTCATGTATGCAAATATCTGCGTAATTTATTATCTAAGAGTACACCCTGGATATAGGGAAAGGGATGTTTATCTGTGGTGTATTATTCTGATTAGCGCTTGAGAAACTCAACAACCTTAATGACGAAAACGCGCTCTCTGATGAACAGCAAGCGGTTGAGGGTGAATATAAAATTTACGTTTACATATATTTGAAAAGCTAATGAAAATACTCTTGCTGGGTAATACTCGGTTAAAAAGGAAGATTCAAATACACTAAACTAGACTAAACAGTTCCTTAAAGCACGGTTACAGCAGAATAAATAGTCAGAAGTAATGAACCCTTTCTCTTATCAAATAATCCTTTACTTTGTAACGAAACAATACAAATTACTAAGTTTCTATCTTGAGATCACCGTTTTTTGGACATGTCAAAATTTCATCAAATCTGTTTTAGATCATTTTTTGCGCGATCGGTCATTTCTGACTATTTACCATGGGTGTTTCCATGACAGTACGTAGAATTTACCAGTTGCTATGATTACGACGACGCCAAAATTACTTACCGATCTAAAAACAGAACAGCAAAAATACTTACCGACGCCTTTTTAAAAATCAACAGTCTTACATTACATTTAATCTTTAATTATTGTTAGGTACATTAAACGTACAATTTGTGCTGTTGTTTCCTATAGCAAGACGATCATAAAGTCATAAAGGAAGTGCAAAGCTAGCAAACTACATCAGACACATGCACAATTTTATGAAATTATCAATTTCAATTTTGACAAATAAACTGGTTACCTAGTGACGTACACCATACCACTTCGATCATTTCGATTTATTCTGCTCGTTAATTTCTTAGTGCATATTTATATTGGTTGCATAATTTTAATTTCGATCGCGCAAAAAATTTTATAAGCACGTCGAACGTTAAGGGTTACCGTTCTCAGACAATAACAACAACAATTGTCTTCGAACGGTAAAAATCCCTTACCGTTCTCCATGCTTAATATACTATTAAGCAAATTTAATGAATGATTTTTGTCTGTCTGTATGTGTATGTACGTACATACGATGGCAATTTTCTGAAACTGATTTTGTTCAAATTTTGGATATGTGTATTACGTGTACGGAAACAAAATATACCAGACCTGATTGCTAATTGCAACATTTGAGTAAATTTAGATTTGTAAGGAAGTTCGGAGTTTTCAACTAAAGTTTAGCGATCGTTTTTTCTACGGCATTTGAATTCTACAGCGTGTTGAACTTTTAACTGCTTTAGGAAGTCTGGCTCCTAGAATTTCGGTGGTAATTGGTTTTGAGGGCTAAAACCGCAGGATAAGTCATTCTGTGTTGTGGGAACGCAACGTTGCAAATTTAATTGTACCTGGGGGTGTAAATCATTACCCTCGCTCTCATGTAATTCGTGGAGCAGGAACTAAGTAAACGAGTGAATGATTAAAGATTGCCGTTTTCAGTAATAAGAAACATTTTTGTAGGTGTTAATTGGTTAAGAAGAAATTAAGTAACGTATAACTCCCAATTTTCCACTACAGCTGGAAAAGGGGGGGGGGGGGGAATTGAAGGCTCAAAGTGCTGGTTCGGGTAGCTCAAGTCGAAGCAGGATTCTGTGGTTAAACAAGTTAAAAACGGAAACTGTTGAATACATATTTACGATAAAAGTTAAGGTATTCGAATTTAATTATTTTGACAAAATTTACTATGTTTTAAAACCCTGTTCTTATATGTAATTTGTTCTTGTTCTATTATTTTCATTTAATAACAATTTAAATTGGTACGACACAGTTGACTGTACGCACTTCCCTGCATTGATCACGTGTTCCGCCACTTCTGATGACTTTTGACTTTTAACTCGAAAAAACTGTCTGATTAATGTCCCCATCTATCAGATGCTAGGATTCGTAGCAGCTTCATAGTTGTGTTCGCTGATTAACACTAAAAAAATATAACTTTGGAGATATTATGATGTCAAGGGTTGACAGAAGAGTAAAATGATTATTTATATTATACAGAGCTTAATAATCACTCGTGACAGTGTTTTTGAAATCGATTCTGCTATTAGTCCTTATTTATTTTAGAACAAGACAATTTTCTAAATCAGAAGCGCTCAATGCGTCGATTGAATCTGAATATGCGTTGCTAATAATTAATGGTTACGGTTCCTACAGTAAAATTTTTAATGCGAGTTTACCTTTCATGTGTTCTTGGATTTTGACGTAATCGCTTGTAACCCAGAACGCGCAAAATAGTTATCAACTAAGACGTTAAAGAGTTGTTCCTTTGTTGAGGATCGAATATCGTTATTAAATCTCCATGACCCGTTGACCCATTTCACAGAAAAATGTCTGTCCGTTATCACCACGGCTCTAAGGTTACCACACACGTAAGATTTGTAGGCATAATAAAACGTATCCGGTATTTAAAATTGAATTTGAATAGTGTCCTTAAACTGATACCATAAATTAAAACCCTAAAAGAAACCAAAGGTAATTTCTCTCCTTGATAACCTAAGATTTACATACTTCTTAAATAAGAGGGCTAATCGTAAGTGAAGCAACAATTTAATTATCGATCGAAATTGCAGTAGGTACATAAATATTAGCCGAACCAGAAAGGTACACTCTAAGTGAAATTCCAACTAAAAATCACTTCAGAGTCCCCAAGTTATGAATCTAATCGCAAGAGATCAATACATGTGGATGACAGAGATTAAAATTCCACGCGTTCTAACTCACACTCCAGCTTCATTTTCATGTCTACTTTATCTCAAGCAAGTTTAGTTTCCATGACAGAGGCAAACCAGACTACTTTTCCTGCCGCCTGCCACTTTACCGGCCGACAGACTTCCTTGTCCTCCTTTCTTAAATTATAAATTGAACACAAGGTGACCATTCTGCAATTAATGAAAGTGTGTTACAATAACTACGCAACTTAACTAAAAATTAACATAAGAAATGCGCAGGAAGCAAGAACCAAAATTAAAAATGTTAAATGAGGCAGTGCATTTACATAATTGTGACAGAAAAAATTTAAATATTTGAAGGAAAAGACTTAATGAGAGAGAAAATGGTTAATTTAAGTGATTATAAGCTTCAAATCTGGGACTGGTAATCTAATTAGATTACAATTAGGAACAATGAGCCCAATTTAAAGTTACTATCTGAACCGTAAGGGTGAAATTTGCAATTTAGCGTAATAACTTTGTTTGAAGTAACACCGTAAGCAATACACCTGTATTACTCCACCATACGGCGACTGACAAACAAAAGAAATACATTTCAGGTCTGCGAATATACACTCTCTTTGAAATAAGAAAAAAAAAGCTTCTGGCACCAACATTCAATTTTCCAACAAATTTCATTTGGAAGTCAAAGTTGTGTTTACCACCTTGTTTGCTTTAAGGCATTCGTTTTCATAAAAACAAAAACGAGTCCTCACGTTGTTTCGGGGGGTGTTAAATCTAATTCATTTTATGTTCACCAATCCTGCTTGTTTTAAAAGAAATTGTAATTTCGCAAACTTTTGATTGCACGTTTACAAAGTAGTAGAAGAAGCTAAGCAATTAACGAGCGGTTAACGGAACACAACTTTTTTAATAAGGGCGTTTAATTATTCCAATGACTAAAAAATGCATTGAAGGAAAGCTGTAAAAGTAATTAAATATGCTCCGGAGTAAATTAACGGCACGACCTACTTACGAAGCTTTTATGCGATTTCCGAAATTGTGTGAACTTTATTCGAGGGTTTTGAAAACTCATCTCGATGCTGTTAGTTATTTATCGAATTTGTACAATATTAATAGGATTCTATTGACGAAGCACGTTTTAAATGAAATCGCGTTGTATTGACACGCATTTGCGAAATGGATAAGGGTTGAAGGCGGACGCCATCGCACGGCGAAAACTGAAACTTCGCATTTCCTCATGACGCTGCGAAAAGAAAAGCTCATGGAAAACGTACAGTTCTAGGAAGCGTTGATGCAATCAAAAATTTGTACTCGGACAGGGATCTATGTGTTTCTCAGAATGAAAATTTCTGTACGAAAGTTACTCCCCGTTCTCGATTAGGGAGAAAACTGGAATGCGAAAGGACACCAATTTTCATGGAATCAACGTTAATTTCGTGCAGATGGCATCCGCAACAAGATTGAAAGTACATTTTCAAATTGAATTTCAACTGAATTCTAAACTATTTTCTTTACACAAAGGCGAAAAAAGATGAGTGTACTTACAGGATTATAATCTTTATGATTAAATACTACCTGAAAACCGATGTAAATTTGCACTCATTTGTGTTTATTTCTAACGTATGTACAATCGTAATTTCCAACTTCAATCCCGACTAATTTTCCCTTCAATATGTTTTATAACCGTCAAACCCCTTTACAATGACTTGTGTTTGTACAAAAATAAATGTGCTTCGATAATTTTATAAGGAATGGACTGTATATGAAATGTAATTGCTTACGATGCCTGTATTGAAAGGGATTAAAGAATATCGACACGAATTATCAACGTGTTTATTGATTAAAAAATACATATAAAATAAATTGATTCTAAATCTTGGTCTGGCGATCGATACTGCACATGGATTGTTGTTCTTTCGCCCAATAAACAAACGAAGGCTTTTGTGGTAGCTACAGTGGAAATTACGGCTGGTTACACGACAGCTCGACGAAATTCATAGTGTGGTTCGGGGAAAATGACGTGCTGCTTCTTAACAAACACGTTCACTATTATTGATGGTTGTACGGCGACATCTTGATTCTTCTCGTTCGATTGTTGCTCGATGAATGCTCAAATGTAGGCTTAATTCTAACTTCGGCCGGTCTTGCACCATAAGTAACAAGTGGGAATATATACAGGGGAAATAGTTATATAATGGCGTGCTATGATAATTTCTTGGAAAGAACTTCAAAGGAATAATTGAAAGGATAATCATTTTAGTTTTTTTTCAGTCTGCTGCCACTGCCCTAAACACGCTCACCCAGTCTGCGATCTGGCCCGACGACACAGCCGATTGATCAGATCATGGTGGGTTAGCAATGAACCATGTTGTCTTTAGTACGGATCGAGGTATGGATTTTCACTTGGAGCCGTCATTCGCCGGGTCCAGCCTGGCGTTACACGCTCCCTTGACCGCTGGACCACTCAAGCCCATGACAACGCCCAACACAGAGGAGGAAACAGGTCTATAGTTTCATAAAACGTAAGTGTATTTCAGAATTAAAAAGCTTGCTGTGACGTTCTGTTTGAAATTTTATCGTCGTGTAGGAACCATCCTCTCAGCTGAGGGTAGCTGGGTTGTAATATGAACCTTTTGTTAGAATTTATTTATGCGGTATGCAGAGCTGCAAAACTCTTCCATGCCCCCCTCTGACGCCTCCTAATATCCTTCTTATATAGTCTTAGGTTTACCTCATAGGTCTCCCAATCTATATAGGCGATAGCTTTGCTCTTCTTTGGGAAATAGGGGTCATTTTTCCTCCCTTACTAAAGTGCGGGTGGTAAAAATCAAAATTTTATTTTACGTCAACTTTCAAAATTGGTATACTGTTGTTTTTCATAAGAAATTCTCCTTATGCCTGCTTGCACCGACAAATTTAAGCGGAGCTTAGCTTAAGCGTCCCTTAAAATCCATGGCAACGATTATTGAGACAATGGTTGCCATGGATTTTAAGCTACGCTTAAGCTAAGCTCCGCTTAAAGTTGTCGGTGCAAAGGAGCATTATGTGATAGTTTTGTCGGTCTGTCTGTTCCTCCAAAACGAAAATACAGGGCGATGTCAAACCTTCGCCAGTCGATCTTATGAATCCAAGACGCAGTGCTATTAAATATGATCTGGATTAAAAGTCGTGTATCCGAATGAGAGCTGAGTGTCAAAAAATACCTACCCCTACTGAAAATTGTTTTATTGCGACATGCTCCAATACTGGGAGCTCTGTGGCAGACTGTCCGAACTATAACTGAGTTTATATACAATAATATATACGTTACTTTGGATTAAAAGAGAGGGTCAACATTATGTTATGACGTACCCTTGCTAATTTTGGTGAGTTACTGATTTGCATTCATGACTGAGATGAGAAACAATTAGTGTTTTGTAATTATGAAATGCAATAGTTCTTTTGTAAAATCATATAATGAATTAGAGAAAATAAAATTGTGATAGGCAACCTCTTTGGATATCCTATTACGTACTTCAGAACTAGATTATTGGATGCTCTATTTAATAAAAACACTTTAGGGAAAATGAATTTTCTAGTCGATTCTAATCCGGATTACTTTCTGGAAGCTTCTTTTCTGTGCAAGTAGTAGACAGTGTAATTCTGTCCCTTCAGAGAATGCCTTATTGCATTTTATTAAATTGATTGAACACTGTCAAAGATAAAAATGCAATTAATAACCCTTTCAGGAAGTGTATGTACTTTCCGCGTTATAATTGGGTATCAATTTGGATTTTCGCTTAAGCCTCGGTAAATCGTATGCAGTTATGATTTACCTGTTGAGCGTCTGAACCGGTGCGCTATTTACCAATTTATTGGTAAACACGCGTTCTCTCATTGTATCCAAACTAGATCGGCGTAAAGAATTTACAGGTTAATCCTCCCCAACAGCAGGAACGAAAAATCGACGTCGTCTATTGTCACTAGAAGAGATGTGAAAATCACACATGGTTTCGAATTAATAGAACATTTTGATATTGAATTTATGGCATTGTTTCGTTCACTACCCACCGAACATATTTTATACAACATCCATTAGCCAGAATTCGTATATCCCACGCATATTTTTCAATTATGTTCAGTTTTTAATACAAATTTTAGAGAAATTTATAATTAGGTTTGAATTTCATAAAGTGGAATGGATTGATTATTTTTAATTGCTGTTAATCATATTCGTATATCGTATAGAAAAACTGAATTCTAGTTTATTATCGCTGATACTACCACCAGTAGAGATACATTATAATTGATTACACTGTATTGGGCACGAAACGTATTTTTGGAAACATCACGAATCTAAATGCGTTGAGGGATCGTTTGCGTTTAAATTTCTTTCATTCGTTTCTCCTTCTTTCCGCCTTTGATTTGCACAATTTGACATGGTTCTTTATAAAAGTTGATCATTCTTCTCGGGAAAATTTTAAGAAGAAATCATTTCATAACTTTATGACGATTTGTCGTTATCGATGGTTAACATTTTCCTCTTTCGTTCGTCAGCTGTGACAGAGTGCCCTTAATTTTTAATTAAACAGCAAAACGCATGGGATTTTAACTGCCGCCACCCATACGTATTAATATTTGGCGATTAATTCGGTTCATTGGGGGATTCCGCATCAATTTGTGAATAGAATTTCATCCCTTCGACCCAGTTACTATTCTCCATTGTAAGTACGCCATTTGCATTTAATCTGCTTGACGTATATCTTCTTTAGGTTCGGGATGATATTTAATACGATTTTTTATCGACGATTGTTGCACGTTCATCTATAATTAGCCCTCTATTTAAAGAGGTATGTACATTTCAAGGTTATCAACGAACAAGGTTACCTTTGATTTTTTTCTAGGGTTTTTTAAATTTTAGTTCTAATTTTGGATTCAAGTTTTAATTTCTAGTTTTAAGGTCACGTTCAAAGATATTTTAATTTATAGTTAAGGACCAGTTCCAATGGTGTATAATTCCGGATACGTTTTACATATGCATGTGGGTAACCTTGAAGTAAAGTCACCATCTATGCACAAACGAACAACAACGTTTGACGGCCTTTCCATTTATTTATTTATTTATTTATTGTCCATCTTATGTTCAATAACTATTTTTGCCCCTTCGGGGTTATATGCTCTCACTTTTAATTAACTTGTTACCTTCAGTATTTGTATTTATTATCTTGCGACATCTTTAAAGTTATGATCGAGTTTTTTCACGGGTTATTGTAGACGGTCACTTCCTTCCGAAGCGTTGTCTACGAGGTTGGCTAAATAACTGAATCTTATAGAAGCTTACCACGAATAAGGCGAGGCCCTTCAAGCATTGCTCAGTTTTTTACATTCCGAGCTCTGCGACTAAGGAGTTTTCTGTTTGCAGATTTTATGGGAATCCGGGAACTGAGCTCACTTCTCTGGATGACATCTTCTTTTAAATAAAGGTAAGCCTTTCTTATGTTTTACTTATATTTGGCCATATATGTACGAATTTGTATTCGGAATATTATTTTATTTGTGATTCATGTGTTAAAATTCAGTAATCAATTCAATCGATTATTCCTGATTGGGGGTTAATCACACTGAGAGATTTCAATTGTAAAGTCAAGATTTCTAAGATCATTTTACCCAGAACGAACTATCGCTATAGAAGATTCTCAAGCTCTCATTTTGTGTTTTACCCTGCGCTAGTTGGCCGTTTATGCGGCGGGTTTGTCCATTTGCTAAAACTCCGTCCTGACGGACGTTGTTAAAACAGCAATACAGAAAAACAGTATGTTAAACGCGTAAGAAAGAGTGAGTTCTCCAGTTCGTCTAAATGTTAGTCCGTTAAAAATTTTGAGTTTGTATGTTCACTTGTAGAACAATATATTATTAATAAAGCACGAATGTTGCAAAGATAAATAAGTAGGTATGTCTAGAAATGAATACACGAAGGATTAGCGTACCTGCTTGCAAGTAACAATTAATTTCCGACAAAGCTCCATGATTAAATATGAGAATTATATAGATAGATGAATTATTTGCTAGTGTTTGTGAGCTTTTTGCGCGTACTTCTTGTTTCAATCTGGACGATTACTCTCTAAACCATTAACTATAAAGGTCACAGAGCACCAAACAAATCGGATTAAAGTTAAACAATAAATCGTTCCCGAAATACCATTTTAAATCCAATGAGGTAAACAAAACTTATTTGTTGGCAATGTTGTTACGAATAATTTCAGTTGCCTGCGAAACAAGCGGGGCGTTAAGTTAGAAAAGGATATATTCTATCCCTAAACCACCTCGCAAGAAACCAATTCTCCTTTCTACTCCGTTAGATAGATAACAAGAATGTTAATTAATTTAAAACTCCTGGGATATAACTAACTTTTGTTAAAAGATAAAACCTTGGTTATATGCAACGTTGTAGAATTAAAAACGATTATCGTGCGCTAATCGAATTATACTTTCATAACATTAGTATTATTTTTATTAAAGAGAGACGAGGACGGGTTAATACCGTTGTACAAAATTTAATTATGAACGCAAGCCGTCATCCTGTAACATATGTCAGATTAGTCGTCGGTTTGTTAATTTTCTACCATGCAGATAAATGCGAAACATTTTATTCGAGCTTTGGAGCTTTTTCTTTAATTTCACTTTTAAAATTAAAAGGTTAGGCAAAGACGATAGTAATTACTGGTACGTTTTAGGAATACTCTCGATCACTGAGAAGTAAAAGTCATTGTCAAATACTCTTCCCCTTAAATTTATTTCCTGTTCCACTAACACTAGGAGCAGCTATTCTCGATTACCGCGTTTTCCCATATTTATTAACGGTGTGTATTTTTTAATGCATTTCCATAATTCGAGATAGAAGCATTCAGCCACCGTAGTGAGTTCTGCTTTGAAACGTTTTATTTGCTATGCCGAGCCACTGCGTGGATTAGTCCGAAATCCCATTTTTGTATTTTATAAAATTCAAATGGTCGCGGTAAAGCAACAGCTCATAACTTCTCATTGAGTTAACGATTCGGATGCGATATTAGATACTTTTAATGTAGAAATCCCTAATGAACATTGTGCTCTATTCCTGCACAATATATTTCCTTTCATCTTAATAGACTCTAGAGAGTTTTAACACACTAACTGAAAGTTTTCAATTAAACATTACTAAATTACACAGTTGGCAACTGTCGAGACACTACCTAAGCATTCTAGTCCTTATTTATGATCTCTAGGTATAATCCTTTATTTTTTCTTCTTTTGTAATAGCCATCTATCATCGTACCTTTGGAGTATCTTTCTCACACAACTGTTTACTGTATAATACTGTCAGATGGAGTAATTTCCTTGTCTAATTGATCTTTAGGTTTGAAAGAAAGAATTTTTTCCCTATACCATGGTACTGCACATCTATTTCTTTTCTCTCGTGACAATTATTAGAAATTCCTACTCCCCAGGTAATTAAAATTGTACTTGCTTTTTCTCCTTTTGTTGTTTGGCTACAAATAAGGATGGTTTGATGAATCTTTTTCTTTTCGTCGTGTGGTTGATGAATTACTTTGAAACTTACCATTTCGGTAGTTTTGCTTCCATCAGCTCGCTCAGGTAAAAAATGGTATAAAATTACGAAAGAGTTCGTTCCGGATTCACCGATATCTTATTGAAATCAAAATTTGGAAAACTGATAACCACTCTTCAAAAATCGACAACCTAAATCTAATTAAAGTAAAATAAACCTACTGGTCTACTAGATAGAAGAAATACCTATTCTGACATTTAAAATGAAAGAAATCTAAACCTTTCAAAATGATGCACACACAAAAATTAATTAATTTAGTTCCCTAGTATTTCGCAATCAAAATGTAAGTAAACAGAAATGTACATCTTTAATTGTTGCAATGGTATCAAGTCGCTGACCTCAGGTAGATGGAATTTCGTAACGCCTCCTGTCTAATTTCCACAGATTTGCTTTCAAGAAGATTTTGCATAGCAATTTCGAATCCCTGTTTCCTCGATTTCAGCTGGATGCCTTCTTGGTAGACATTCTCCAAAATGTAATGTTGGTTCTCTCTTCCTTCGGTATTCATTTGTTAGAAGCTTGTATCCTTTACCTTTTGATGTTTCCCTGCTCGAAATAACACTGCGTGTATCGTGAGAGTTGGAAATCGGACAAACTCGTCAGATCTTTTGCCCCCATGGGCATTACAGCTTTCATGAGATGTACAGTAAATTATTTACCCATTTTAACAAAAGTGCCATTTAAAAAATTATTTAATACTCTCGTGAGTGCTACACAAATGGAATTGAGTCTTTGAGTTTAATTATCAATGAGAGGGCAAAGTGGAAGAACAGAATCAGGTGAATTCTCGCCTGTGCCTGAACTTTGACCCATTTAGTTACCTTTAGCATTTTCAGTTTAAATTTTAGTTTCTAAGATCTTTGGTTGAATTTTTTGTTTCGAATGTGGTTTGTTTTAATTTTGTTATTGTTTTGTCTGAGGGTTAACTAAATAAAACTATTATTATTATTATTTTACGGAACACATCTCTTCGGCAACAAGCATTGATATTTGTTTGTAGGATAAAGTAAATCATCTGCATTAGACCTGTGGCCATTTAGAACCTGGTCTTGACCAATCTGGAAACAATACTTAAATGGCACATTTACAAAATACGAAATATAAATCTACAAAATTTAACTATATAAGTAAAATACCTGAAAATGACTGCCCTCACAATAGACTAATAGCTATGTAAAAGTGAGTTTTAAAAAAATTATAATTTTTCAAACGGAGTGATGCACACTTGAAGGGTGGTTTTTGGACCTGTAAACAAAATCAAATCAGGAAACAAGAATTCCGGCAAAAATTACACCTCTCATAATAAACGGATTGTTATGTTTAGGTGAGTGTTCTTAAAAAATGTAATTTTTGAAATGGAAAAGAACTACACTTTTATGTGCATTCAGAGGGTAGCTTGTGGGCCTTGTCGCCAAGAAACATAGACCAAAAAAGGGGGTGTGAAATAATTCTCGGAAAGCTGAAAATGGTTTTAAACTCTATATTTGGATGTAAACAGGGTCTTTCTATCTCGGTTTACCACTAGCCGTAACCATCGGTGGGGTCTAGAATAATTTACAAGCTCACAATGTTTTATCTGTGCCCTGTGGTGATAGTTGACCAGGACAGGTGAGCTGGTTGGTAACGTTTGTTTTTAAAGCATCGATATATCGATCCTAAAAATCGCTATTTTTATTCTAAATTGCTTACTTGCTCCTTTTTTTTAAATAAAATTGGTATCTTTACAAGTGACGACTGTAAAAGAAAAATGTATCTTAACTCTTATGGCAAGTATAGTAACAAAAGAAGGGATAGGAAGCACGTTTTGTTGAAGGATAAAATTTCTGTAACTGTTCATGAACAATTATAAAATAAAAATGCATATTGGAATTACAATAATAAAATAAAAATAAAGATGTTCTGAATGCTGCAACAAGCAATTTTGATTTAGACAAAGTAAAATTGAACGACCGACGACAATAGCAAACAGCCATTTTAATAATACATTTTATTTATAATTTAGAAACCTATTTGTGCTACGGTGAACAAAATTTTTGATGTCAGCGAAATTTTATTGAGAAGTATATACCATTATATCTAACAAAATTTAAGCGCGCCCTGTATTTTCCGGTGTTTTGGGAACATTTTTCAAATAGTCAAAAAACCATCTTCCTCAATATAATTTTCTACAGAAAAATTGAACCTATTGGTTCCAGTGATAACTATTGATAATTTTTACATTTTTTACCTACTGCAAATGTCACTATAGTAGTGTGATATTTAGTATTTTTAATTCAACGAACTATGATTCCTTGGGTTGCACCCATTCTAAAATGGCGTTTTTCTATAAAATAATTTACTTTTAGGCGCAACCTTATAACTCTTATAACATTGTTCAGGCCTTGTTAGTGAACAGGCGGTGAAAAAAGGCACTATTTCTTGTTTGTAGCAGTAAGAGCGCCTATATTGTTAAATGGCAACATTTTTGCTAATTCACAATCTTTTTCCGACTGTACTAAAACAGATTTGTTGCCACTGTTGCATTTTAATACCACACGCGACTTTTATACGGTATTATTGCATTTATACATATTTTTAATCTTCTGGGGAAGGCGCCACTTTTCTTATTTTTTCTACTGTGATAATTGCGACATTCTAAACTGAAACATCACTATGATTGAACGGTCATAATGAGTCACCAGCCACGTCAGCTAATTCAACATAAATTTGTTTTGTTGTAGTTAGCGATAGCAAAACGTTGACCATGAAAACAATTTTAATTTTATAAAAACTTTGTTATTGTTTTAATATTGTAACCAAAATAACACAATATAACTATTTTTCTTGTATTCCCTATGGACAAATATTTACGTATAAATTTCGAAATCGAATAGTAATTTTGCGTTCATTTTCACCCAACTTTGGATCAACGTATACAGTTTAATTGCTTCTTTTAATTATTTGGTAATTATCCCCATCAAAATTAATAGCGCGAATACAAAATTGAGATAAAGATAATAGCGCGTAATGTAAAAAGTGAAGTAGTCACAGAGATCATAAATCAAAGCCAATTTAAGAAATTGCACTAAATGATTCATTCGCCGCACTTGATGTTCACTGGAGGATCTTAAATAATGCATAATTTGAAAATTACGGGAATGAAAAGCCATATTTTCGTTCAATCAATTTCATTCATCTCCAGCTCCCAAGTTTTTGCGCTTTTTCCCCTTCATGAATAATGGCGGCGACGTAATACGGAAGATATACGTTTGATTTTGTTATTAAACGTGTCTAATTCGAACGATTGTTAATGTGCCGACATACGGCAATTGTAATAATTATTCATGGGATTCTAATAAATTATTTTCCACGTCACGTGTATTGTATAAGACGGGGTAAGTCCGAGATTGTGGGGAATTATTAGGGGTGGAGAGCACATTATTCACCGTACCCTGCGAATGACAGTGGCAGGATGACACGATATCGAAAGCTTCTTATGCTTTCAAGATATTTATTAGACTCGTTCAGATGGAATCTATTGTAATGGACAAAATCACACAACTTTAATGGCAGCAAAAAAGCGGGCGAGCGATTTCGCTTCTCCGCGTTTTATTTAGATAATAATTGAAGACATTTTAATACGCAATAGTATAATTCGATGAAAACCGCAAATAGACATTTGGGAAAAGTGTCACGAACCAGAATTCGATAACAAATAAAATATAGTTCGAACGTGTCGACCTCTGCTATAACTCATGTATATACAGGACTACGTGCGAAATATGGGTACTTAAGCCCATTTCAAATTGCCTATTCTGATTTTTACTCGATTCCTATTTTCGTTTAACATTTGTTTCTTTCCTGTTACATTTTCTAGAGGATATTAAAACATTTTTCTTTTTATCTTGAAAGATATATGGGCGATGTGGAAAAATATCAATTGATTCGTTGGCGGTAAGCATTTCGTGCATTTACGACTAAATATTCAATAATCACCCTCGTAATCACCGTAACTTTTACATCAAGAGGGTGCATTTATAACTTGCCCACTTCCATCACTACTTGTATAAACTGGTATCCCTCCTTATGAGAAGAAATAAGTATAAATAAATTGTGCACAACTCTTTTGCAGATGAAGATGATTTTTTTAAACCGAAATAGCTTAGTAAATGGTTCGGTTTTAAGGTAGTAGCATGCTATATTTGTCGATGTTTACTTTCTTGGTAGATGATTGATGGGGAAGAGGATACTTACACACAAACATTAAAGGCCGGCTGGCATACATTCAAAATCTACGCTATATAATGCAAGAAGAATCAAGCCTCTAGAGAAATTCTCCGAAGTATTGCATTTTCCCATTGTAGGTATCTTCCTCCAATATTTTCGAGATATTTACTATTTAGTTTTTACCTCACCTGTGCGCCTTTTGAGAGAGTAGGTACTCTTCTCCGACACTCGATTCTGTAGATATTTGCACTGAAAGTTTTGACATCACCAATAGGTATGTCTTGTCCTGACATTCCACTTGCCGCTTATGACTACCTTCTTCTGACGTACATGATTCAAAGACGTACATGATTATGATACTCGACACCGGGAACGCCTGCGACTGGATAAGCCAACTCACTCGTTCTACAAGGAGTCACCAGAATATAAATCGGCTAGCTACTATAACGCTCTTCCCGAATCTGTAAAATCGGCTGCGACGTATTCACAATTCAAGAAAAGGGCCAAGGATTTTCTTACGTCAGGTGTCTTTTACAGCCGAGCTGTTAGGTATTACCGTCAAATAATAATTTTTTAGAGCCCTATTGATACGTTGACTTGTAAATAACTATTATAAATAAAGTTTTTATTAATAAACCGACTTGACTTGACTTCTGACACACGATAATTTTTGCCTTTGAGAGCCGTTTTCGAGATATTCGCTCTTAAAGTTTTGACAGCACCAATGGATATATTTTTTCCAGGCGTCCCAATCGTCCTTCGTGAGTCTTTTCCGACAATCCGTTCTTGAGATATAAGGAATTATATCCGATCACGATAAGAGGTGAGGAGAAGGACTACGGTTGACACCTTTCATTAGAGTACCATGAAGGATAAAACCAGTCCCCCCAAACCCCACTTTGGTGAAGGATCAGGAAGAAGGGCGGCAGTTGGTAGAAAACCCCCTTTTAGTTGGGACCTTTAATTAGAATACCATGAATTGTAGTTTGTACAAACCAATACTTCTGAAAAAGATCACAAAAATTGGAAGTGCTCATACTTCCTCTCATGTAACTCGGAACATAGAAGTACAAAAAAATGTGAATTGTGTTGTTTACCTTTTATGCGATGAACCGGTACGGAGTTATTTTGAAAAAAAAACGATATTTTGTACCTTTCATCAAATATAGCGGCACGAACCGTCCTCTCCCGAGGTCTTTATTTCAAGGCCCAAACCTCACCAACATGTTTAAAAAAATACCACATCAAAAATCCCTACTAACTGGACTATATTATTAAGGTCGGTAGGTGCTTCTCCACCTTTTATAGGGCAAAAATCTCTACTGACTACTTACTATTATTAAGGTCGGTAACTTTTCTAGTTTCGGTGGCATCTTCGAATTCCTTTACAAATTGATCCATAGCGAACAAACATAAATAAAACAGAACTATTTCTGTCAGGGTAAAGTAAATCAAATTACTAGAAACTAGAACTTAGCCCTTTCGGCCCCTGTAGTATTACAACAAGCATCATTTTAGTACCGATTGATATAATATGACTTAAAAAGCAAAAAACCTAACACAACACAAAAGAATAAAAATGAAACAGGGTCGCTCAACCACTGTATAGTGTGGGTCTCAGTAATTTCGATTGTTACTTTCATAGACCACCGACGATGTTGTTATTAAGTTCTGCAAAGATAAACTAAAACTTGATATCCAGTACAACGATATTGATTGCTCCCATAGAATCCCTGGTCCAGAGAATCAACCTCGTCCCATAATAGTCAAGTTTGTAAGGAGAACTATCAAGTCGCATGTGTTTGGAAATAAGAAGCTTCTTAAAGGTAGTAAGATAGTCATTAGGGAAGATCTAACCAAGCATCGGCGTCTATTGTTAAATGATGTCAAGTTGAAGTTTAATTTAAATAATAATCAGGTATGGACCAACAATTGTAAAATTTTTGCTAATGTTAAAGGCAAAATCGTAAAGTTCGAACATTATAAGGACTTGGAACAATTTAAAGTGAGCCTTCCCTCTAAATAACACGTGTATCCGATATTGCATACTAACATGATAGGTAATTTATTTTATTTACTCTCTTATCTCCGTAATGCATTTGATATTTTTGTCTACATATTTTTGAATTATTAGGTACGTCAAAAGTAATCTCTTTTGCACGTTTCCTTTGTTATGTTATCTTAGGTTCTTATTAATTTCTTTTCATTTATCATTCTTATAATTAATTAATAGGTAATTAAGAAATGTTTTTTTGCTGTTCTGGTTTACTTATATACCCGGCATTTTGATAAATAGTTTAATTATTTATATTTTTGTTTTTTGTTTTTTTTTTGTTATGCGACACTTTAACATGGATTGGTTTCTTTTTCCATGGGTGTTCTTAAATTAGCACATATCAATGCGCGATCACTCACAAACAATTTTGATGAATTTCAAGATCACGTTATGCATAACAATTATGATGTAGTTGCAGTTTCAGAAACTTGGTTGCAAAATACTCTTGATACAGATGCTATTAACTTATCTAATTATAATTTTTTTAGGAAGGATCGAGGAAGTAGAGGAGGTGGAGTCGGAATTTATATTAAGTCTTACTTCAACTGTTCCGTTATTGCTATGGAAAATTCTGATAGTTATGAACAACTTTCGATAAAAGTTTTAGACAAACATAAGGTAGTGTATGTTGTTGGGGTGGTTTATAGACCTCCTCATGGTAATCTAAGCGATTTTTTGGATAATTTCGAAGAAGCACTTAGTACTATTATTTCAATTCACGAAAAAGTTTTCTGTTTGGGTGATTTTAACATAGATCTCTTAAAACATGATGATAATATGGTTATAAAGTATCGTTCTATGTTGGACGTATTTGGTTTATCTCAAATTATCGAATGTCCTACACGTATAGCTAAGGATTTTTTCTCATTAATCGATCACATCCTTGTCTCTGAACATAAGTCAATCTTGAGCAGCGATACTGTAAGCTCCAATAATTTCTCTGATCATGATTATGTTGTTTGCAATGCAGAATTGGACTATTGTCAAATTCATACGTCTATTTTTAGCTTTAGGAATTTAAAAGATTATGTGGGGGTAGCTGCTTCATTTGAAGATGCCTTAATGGAAGTAGCGTGGAGTGATATTTATACATTACCTGATGTTAACCACAAGGTTGCTTTTCTATCACGTAACTTGCTTTCCCTTTTTGATGATTTCTTTCCCATTATAACGGTTACATCCCGTAAACCCAAAGCACCTTGGCTCACCGACAATATCAAATTGATGATGAAACTTCGTGATAATGCTTATCGCCGGTTTAAAAAAACGAAAAAGAATGGCCATTGGGAGTATTATAAATCTTTAAGAAACCTTGTAACATTCTCCATCAAACAGGAAAAGAAAGCTTATTTAAATTTCAAGCTATCCAATGGCGATAAATCATCTCTCTGGCGAGCCGTCAAAGACTTGGACATCTATAAAAAACATAATGCTAAACTACCTAACGAGTTAAACAAACCCGATGAAATTAATAGATTTTTTAATCAATCCATTTCTAATAGCTCTATTGCCACACAGAGCCAACATTTAAATTGCTATAATACTATACATCATAGCGTTAACGATAAATTTAAATTCCATTCTGTGAGGAAACATATACTTAGTTATGAAAATTATTAACAATATTAAATCTAAATCGTTTGGCTCCGATAATATCAATATTGAGATGATCCAGCTTTGTTGTCCTTTTATAATACCATTTATAACGCATATTATAAATGAATGCCTCTACACTAATACGTTTCCTTCACAATGGAAAGTGGCTTATGTCAAACCTATTCCTAAAATTAATAATCCTTCATGCTATAAAGACTTGAGACCGATTAGTATACTGTGCACTTTGTCGAAAATATTGGAGAAGGTTATGAAAGATCAAATAAATGAACACATTCTTAAATATAATCTTTTAACACCTTACCAATCTGGGTTTCGAAAAAATTATAGTTGCACCACAGCATTACTTAGTATTACCGACGATATCATTAAAGCTACAGATGCAGGATATCTCAGTTTTGGTATTAGTAGATTTTTCTAAGGCATTTGATACTATAAATCATAAGCTTCTTTTATCAATACTGAATCATTACGGTTTCGATGTGTCTGCGGTACAACTTATTACCTCTTACCTTGAAAGTAGGCAGCATTGTGTGCTTATGGATAACATTAAATCTTCTTTACTTGATGTACATAGTGGAGTCCCACAAGGCTCCATTTTGGGGCCACTTTTATATGTCATATATTCAAATAATATCTGCAGGGACTTTAAAAGCTGTAAATTTCATCAGTATGCTGATGATACGCAGGTATATTGTTCATTCCCACCGTCTGATACATCTGATGCAATAAAATTAATAAATAAAGAACTTGAAGTGCTTGTCCGAACTGCTACAAACCATAATTTATTTATTAATGCAAAAAAGTCCACTGTGCTGCTTTTTGGACGAGATAAAGCTAGAATCCAGAACTTGGATCTCATTAGGATTAAAGTGCAAGGATCGGTATTGAAAGTGTCGCACGATGCAAGAAATCTTGGAGTTTTAATGGACTCTAACTTTAAGTATGTTAGCCATATTAATAATTGTTTGCGCAAGGCATATTCTACTCTAAAGCGTTTATATCCGAATAGACATCTTTTATCTACTAAAACCAAAATAACCCTAACAGATACCCTTGTTTTGTCACATTTTAATTATTGTGATGTTTTGTTTCATGCATGCATTGACACAGCTACTGCCACCCGTATACAAAGAGTGCAGAATTCTTGTTTGAGATTTATTTATGGCATTGGGCGCAGAGATCACATTTCACATAAGATGATCGAGGTGGGATGGCTTAATATGTCTCAGCGTAGAATGTTGCATTCTCTAGTTCTTTACCATAAGGTTATTATCACCCAAACACCAAGTTACCTAGCTGATCGTTTAGAATATAGAACTAGCTTACATAATCTAAATTTGCGCCATAGAAGGTCTACTAAATATCCCTTTCCATCACACTGCTTACTTTGAAAAATCGTTCACATATAATATATGTAAGCTGTATAACATGATTCCGTCCCCTCTTAAAAATCTTCAACCTCTCGGCTTCAAAAATAAAATCAGACAATATCTGAAACTGGAGCTACCTAAATGAACTGGTGTGTCTTAAGATTTTAGTACTTATACTTGTATTTTTATTTTGTTTGCTTTCCTCTCTTTGTATTCAAGTATTAATTTGTTCCTGAGTGCTAGCGTAATTTACAATTTATATTTTATTTTCCTATAACGAGTTGGGGTTACATGGAAGAACAGGGTTGTCAAAACACTGAATGTAGTCCCATTTCCCGTATACATTATGTGTTACTCATTTATATATATTTTATACTTATTTGGTTTTGGTATTACGTGGAAATAAATGTCATTATTATTATTATTATTATTATTATTATTATATGTAAACTTTTCAACGCGGCTTAGATGTTTCCTTTACTTTTTTGGATTTCTTTTAATATTATGTACCGAATTTTGTGGTTGATTTTTCGTTTTTTTTTCGATAAGTATGCAGTGATATTTATTAAGAAGTAGACATAGGAATTTATGTGTTTTTTTAAAAGGCAAAATCTCTACTGAAGGGCGCCTAATTATATGCACCCAAAATATCTTTTTTTATCTAAAAGTAGACATAGGGAAAAACAATACACGTAAATCCCTATGTCTACTTCTTAATAAATAGCACTGTATATGTTCCAATTTTCATTTTCTTTCTCCTTTGCTTTCAATTTTAATTTTATTTGAGGCAGATTTTTCGTTTCTTATCTATTCTCATCTAATGGATGTTATTCACTTTCAATTATTCTTTTATATCCTCTCTAATTTGGCTGATGGCTCATTGCCATTTTTTTCAGAACGTCATTTCAGTTAATTTAATTCTTCATCCTCTTAATCAAAACTTGAGTTTTGCGTCTGCCTTTTGGGAACCCGTTTGCTCATAATTGACTTATCTTATCCTACTACACTTGCTCGCTAAATTATCCCCAAAGACTATACATAGTGACAATCTAAAACCTACGAGTACAATAAGCTATATCTCACAAAGAACGGGAAAAGATAATTCATCCCCATCAATAATTGTATAGACCCATTCTACCACAACCAAAAGAAATTAAAAAGCTAACCTCTACTTGTGGTACTTGTTCATTGAAAAGCCCATAAAATGATATCTAATGGTATAAGTAATAATTGTACAATGTCGTATCAATATAATTACCAAATTAAACATTTAACAATTTTAAAAACAAACAAACCCTATACCTGTGATAAATGTTGAAAAACTCTAAAAGGCAATAATGCCTTATATTTGTTTTGAAAGTTTAATTTTTCGTTTTTGCATAACTATTATTTATTCAATAGCATAACATTTTATAGGATTTTCAATAATGTATCACAAACAGTTTGTTTTTTGTAACTAAAAAAATGTTAAATAAACTTAAATACACTTTTGAATATGTCGTCTCAAGAAACAATTTGTTGCTAAAACAGCTATTCGGCACTACGGGGTACCAAAACCAATCATCTCTCTCTTGCAAAAGCCTCCAACTCTTCATCAAGAAAGAATTATTGACGTACTGCATGGTACGATGATTTTTTGTTTGAATTTGAACTGAAGTGGGACAATTTTTCAAGATATTTTCTTATAACGCCCTTAATTATAAAGATAAGGTACAAACTATGGTTAAAACATCTACATAGAAATTTCAGAATTCTTAAAAATATAAGCAACTTTGAAGTTCTATATCTTTTTTAATAAACATTTCCCAAATATGTAGTTGTGTAGAATTTTATGGTCTATAATTTCTGATAATATTTTTTTCTAAAGTGAACCATTAAAAAGATATGATTGAAAAACTAAGAAACCAAGCAAATTTCAGGGGTTTTGGGGGTGGTACGAGGGAAGCACAAGGAGTGCGAGGTCAAAAACCTAGATGACATTCAAAAGAAATTGGAACTCCTCATTTTTCAAGTTAAAACTCTCTATTCCCTGGACTATACTACAAGTGATTCAAATGTACTTCTGCAAAACTCGTGAGTAACATGATATTCCAGTCAAAATGTCCCCCTAATTAGAATAGTTTTACTTCCCTTTGACTGGTCGTGTCAAAAACAAGACATAATTAATTAAACGACGTAAAGCTGTTCGCGAATATGCAACTTAAACGGTTCCTAATTATTCTCGTCATAATAATTTTTAGTGAACCACGCAAAAATTAACATAATCTTGGAATATAGATCTTGTCGCTCTTATATAATTTTTCGAAATTACCATTTTTATGCACGGAATGTTGCATAATTACTTCAGTGGAGTGGGGTTAATCCTCTTTGGCATGCACTAGATCAGGATTTACTGAATCCTGGTGGAATAACATGGAACAGCATTTTGTTTTCGCAATTTCGACACTTTGTCAAATACAACAACTGCTAACCCTAGTGGAAATGCAAATTGGCTAGAACTTGGTGGAACATTGGCCCAATATTTGAGTATAGGGCCAATATTTGCAATGCCATGCCGATATTGTATACAGACGAAAATGCAATATTGCCGGGGTATTGTAATCTATATTGGCGCTATTTCGTTTTACCATTGGAAAGCAATATTGGAGTAGTCAATGTTGGGGCTATATTGTATTACAATAGTTAACCAATTTGTCGACCACCTTTTATTAATAATAATGTGTATATAATATGACGATTTACATGTAATGCGTTTCGAAACAAATTTTATGTTTTATTTACTAAAAAACCAACGAATTATTTCCAAAATGCCGGGTTCGTATAGGTTTGATTTTTTGGATGTAACTTTTCCTGCCGCAATGGCAACTCCGCACGCATCAATCGAGCGCTATAGTTGGCAACCGCGCGAGTAACAACTTCAGTGTGATTATTCTTGAGACTCACTTCATGTTGGACCGGCGACTTGCGTTTATTTTACGTTTAAAACGTGGTGTACTTTTGTGTTTTAGTTGTGTGATTCATAATAAATCGACTAATAAATTGAATTTAAGGTTTTATTTTGGTTGATTTATATAGCGGACGAGATTACAATCTTCTAACGCCATGTAAGTTTAGTTTCCATAAATATTCATAACCTAGAAACTTGCTTTCATTTTAGATCCAAGTGATATCGCCGCTGTTAATAATTGGTATAGCATTCCATTGAAAACATTCACGCACCAGGAAATTTGTTCAGATCACCAACACTGTTGCCGACTTGGTGTTCGATTCACTGGCCCATCGCTGTCATCGACATCAATTGGTCTCTGGGCTACTGAGCAGCGATGTGAGTATTCTTTGATCATATTCATGTCCATTGTCTGCATGCACATGGTATAGCCAAGGAAGGGAAAGCTTGCGTACGAAAAAAATTGCGCAATTTTTCTCGAAATACTTTAATCGTTCTACTCGTGCACGGAATATCAATTATTTTCATGTAGTTAGCAGGATATTTTCCCCGATCAATTTCGCATGAAGCAGTATTACTTTAAAACTCTCAAGTTTCAATGTATGTAAATGTTTACATACAACCGTAGATTCACAATCGATTCCGATAGAAACATTACGTATGTTGTGTTCCGTTTGTAGTCGGACAAGTCCAGACCAGAATAACGTAATGAGATATTCAAAGGTTTGTTCACAATTCTGGATTTGTTTTAGACGTTGATACAAAATTTAACGGAATGGCATCCAGTAACAGATCCAAAAAATGTATGCGAATTGCAAGACAGACTAGGAGAGATATGATGAAAATTTCAATGAATGAAAACGGTACTTATAATTCCGATAACTCTGAACTCTCTGATATCGAAATGTCATCTGGTTCTACCAATGATTCAGATGGGTGTAACGAGCCAAGTACCTTTGAGTACTACTGTACAAACGACAATGCAAGTGATCCAGAAAGTCACGATTTAATAAATAGTAAAGTTGCGAGTAATGAGAATCCCGAAGAAGTAGATCCTTATGCAGATCCAAATTCATTATCCAATAAATTGAGAACTTGGGCTATACGTGCTCATGTATCTCACTCTCAAATCAATATGCTACTTCCAATTTTGAAGGAATATCACCCTGATTTACCACTATCTTCAAAAACACTTCTTAAGGTTGTTAAAAACTATAACATAGTTGATATGCTAAGTGCAAAAGATGACGCTGGTGAATATGTTTACTTCGGAATTACACAAAACTTGAAGTACGAGTTCCGTCGAGGGCTTCACCATATATTACAAAAATACGATAAGACACAAATTGATTTGATTTGTAACATTGACGGTGCGAAAATCCATGTCAGCACATTGCTGAATTTTTGGCCAATTCTGGGAATGATATATATCAAAGGTATCAAGTTCTCGCCCTTTCCTATTGCTATATATAATGGCAAGGGCAAACCAAAGCATGTAACAGAGTATCTTAAAGATTTTGTTGATGAAATCAACCACATGCACACTTATGGTTTCAGTTACGGAGGTAAAAAGTATGAAATACGCCTGAAAGCTATTATTTGCGATGCACCTGCCAGAGCATTTATCAAGTGTATAAAGGGCCATGGAGGATTTTTTGGTTGTGAGAAATGTACTCAACGTGGGTTTCGAATCAATAATAAAGTGATATTCCCAGAAATAGATAATGTAATATTACGAAATGACAATTCATTCATCCGAGAATGTAGGTCTCGCGTGACAGAACATGTTACTGGTCTTTCACCTCTCTTAGACGTGAGTTATTTCGGATTAGTTTCTGGATTTCCCCTAGATTATATGCACATGGCATGTTTGGGTGTCATGAAGCGTGTGCTAGGCCATTGGCTCCAAGGAGCGGCAGAACATCGATTAGCACCTTCTAAAAGGCAAATAGCTTCAAGGCGCATTCTGGATGTGGCAGAACATACACCATGTGAGTTTGATCGTAAACCACGTTCTCTCACAGAAGTTGATTATTGGAAAGCTAAAGAGTTCAGAACGTTTATGAACTATTATGGTCCATATATCATGGAAGATTTAATTTCGAATAAACAATTCAAGCATTTCTTACTCCTTCACATTTCTATGAGGATATTATGCTCAGGAAACTACAGAGATGGTTTAGGAGAAATTGCGAAAGAAAAAATGAAGCAATTCTCTGCTCGGGTTCAGTATATTTATGGCGAAGATGCTATAATTTATAATATGCATTCTATTTTCCACATGGCCAAAGAAGCTGTAGATGGACATTACAGTCTGGACGAAATGAGTTGTTTCCCTTTTGAAAGCTACTTAGGTAAATTGGTGAAAATGATAAGAACGCCAAACAAGCCATTGGCTCAAGTGTGCGTGAGATTAGCTGAGCAGTCCAATTTTCTTGAAGAGTATCCTTTAAATAGATGTAATACAGTAAATGAGAATAAAACTATACTCAACCATCATCATGGCTATAAAATTAACATTACAAGTGACAAGGATTCATTCATATTATTGAAGAATAAAAGGGTTATGAAGGTTGTGGAATTAATAGAAACCAATAATATTTTGACAATCAAGGGAAGAATATTTGGGAGGCAATATGAAGCATATACCGAACCAGTTTCATCAAAGGTGATCAATGTATACAAAGTACAAGAACTGAACAATTTCTTGTTCGAAGAACCTGTCGGGAATATAGAATGCAAATGTTTTGTTATCCCCATGGACAATCATTTCCTTGTAATGGGAATGTTGCATAACGAACTGTGTGAGTATATTATAGATGCTTCCATAAATCTGTTTTAAAACTAGATTTCGTGCCATTTAGAAAGTCTCCTTTTTGACATAAAGCACACTCCTTTAAGTTTATTTACAATTTTTATTGTGTCATGCATATAATCGATTTTTTTTTCAGAGAATGTCTTGGGACGTGGTTTATTGGTCTGATGGCGGATGTGATTACGTTCCTTCAAGTTGGGCTCTCGATGACACAAAGAGAATTGCTCTTATTGATGCATGCCAACCTCCAAAGACAAGCTATGAATACAGTGAATGTGATGCCCGGTTCATAAAAACTGCCACCAATTTAGTGCTTGTTAAAAAAATAACGCAACAAGCATTATACACTTCGAACATCGACACTGATGATGCAGATGAAAGAGAAAGTGACGATGAACAGGAATGCGAGGTTCATAGTGGCAGTAACAATAGCAATAAATCGGATTATGAAGAATTTGAACCATTAAAACTCAAGAACACTGCCCATAATAAAAGGTTTGAACATGCCAAAAACACCCCCTTTTTAAAAAGTAATATGTCTGGTAATATTTCTGCTGCGAAAAAGAAACTGGGAACTTATTCAGGTAGTGTACGTGGAACAGAAGAGACATGCTTGACATCAACCCCCAGGAAGAGTAAGCAGGTCATAACCCCAAAACATAAACATGAGGAAACGCAACACACACCATCTCTCGGTAGGACATGTAACGCTCCATCTGATATGAATACTAAAATAATCAAAGAGCTCCATACATTGAAGTATGAAATTACAGAACTCCGCAAGGAAAACTTTCGGATGCTCACCATTCTGGAAAAACATTTTGGAGCGATGTCCGTAACAGCGGAGGCAGTGAGTAAATTTACGTTGCCAGTTCAAACTGATGAGGATTTGGTGACACTGGATGACAGTCTGAATTCTGAGCAAATCAGAGCTGAGATGGTAATATAATTATTATCAAACACTATATAAAATGATTCTCTGATCACATTCTTTCTAGATACTTCAAATGTCCCTGGTTGGAGGTGACCATCTACGTCAGATGGTTAGCAACATTCTGAAATTTTTTCGAAAGAAATGGCACTGAAGTTTTCTTGTTATGGGCGACAATCCAAGCGGTCATTCATCAAACTCAAGCTGTCATCTGCTTTAACAGGTACGGTACTTTTTAGTGCTCTAATAGCTTATTAATCTTTTGTTAGATTGACACGTGGGACGTGGGTATTTTGTGCTATAGTTTATAAATGTAGTAGTCTCCTAAAATTAATCTTTACATATGTTGTGAGGTGAACATTTTCTTAAACATTTACGTTCCTTTACAGATGCAGTTCGTCGCAAATTTCCCAATGTGACTGACAAAGAAATCAACAAACACATTGGAAACTGCCTTGCTACGTCAGGTGACCGCGAAGGAGGACGAAAAGACAGAACAAAAATAACTGACAAGGTTGACGCGGGTGCATTAAATGCACAGGAATTATAGTCTTTTTATTTTTATATAGCTCCACTCATGTAAGAATCTTTTTTTTTATGCAATAAATAAATTTCATCTACTTTCTGTTTTTATTGGACATAAAATTATTGGCGAGAGATAGTAAGTCTATTTGGAGACAATATTGCATGCAAGTGAGACTGCATTGTCTGTGCCAATACTGACTGCCGATTGGGGAACCATTCAGAGCCAATATTGTATACAAATTATTTTGTATATTTAACCAATATTGCTTTGCAATATTGTCCACAAATTGGAAAATGTTCACAATTCCATCTTGGACCAATATTGGTTTTCAATTGCTCGCAATATTACGCAATGTCTAGCCAACCTAGGTCCAATATTGCATTTCCACTAGGGGGTAACCCACTTCTGACGCCTCCACAATCATATAAATACGCCAGTTTAGTGAATTTCGCTAAAATCCCTCGCCAAATATTCTCAAATTTTTGAAGCACTTCTCATAGCTGGAATTCCTATTTTCCCATCGGAAAAAAACAAATTCCGAGTACGTGTGCGCGTGTACAGGATCTTTTCAACGACACCAGTTTGAAAACAATCGGACCAAAATTGTAGAAGGAAAAAACTGAAAAATCACTACGTTAGTATAACACACTCGGGGATGGCGCCCAGATGTCGCCTACCCCACATCATGTAGCCCGGTCCCTAAAGTTATTAATTATACGGCCCCGGTAGGTAACGTACACTTCTCGTCTTTCTACCGGGTGATTCATTAGAACTGATGACAGTTTGAATGTCCCGCAAAACAAAAAATTTTAAAGGTTGGTAATAATAGATTATCATTTGCCTAATTCCAGTGGTGTATGTAAAATCACTCTCCAAGGAGTATTAATTTATTTTTAATTTACAAATAAGTCGTTATTTAAATTGTTATTAAATCAATCAGAATAATTACGTCGATTTTCATAATCAAGAGCGTGCAGTTGCTGTAGAACAGAAACCCGGTACGGGTGTATGTATACGTAGATCTTTATGCAAAATTCGTTGGCATGTTGCATAAGACACTCCTGTAATTCGAAAATAAAGTTAATAGGTATAATAGGTATTCATTTTACGTATACCACTTACCAGCTTGGGCACTTAACTGACGGACTGATTTTCTGGAACTCGCTTCCAATCTTTGTCTTCGATCACTTCATCGTTTCTTAGTAATGGATGACCTGTTTTTTCTTCTTTGCAAATGCAATTCTTATTTTCAAATCTATCAACGATTCGTTTTTTATGATTGGCAAAAGCTTTATAAGAAATAATAACATCGGGATACTCTTCCTTCCATAAACTGCTCTCGACAGGACTGGAGGATCCTCAAGAAGGGGATTTTTAACCTACAAATGCACATTAGTCTAATTTAACCGTTATTTAATTACTTACTTCAACAAATTCTTGAATTTACAGCGTACGTTTTGGAAAGAACTGTTTGATAATACAGATTGGAAAAGTAAATTAAAAACAACAACAAATTAACGAAATAACGACGGCACTGGTGACTAATAAGAATTAGTAAAATAACTAAAAATATATCATCGCCAATTCTATCCCGTAAAAAACACTAGAATTGTACGCGCGAAATTCAAACTGACATCAGTTCTAATGATTCACCCGGTACAAGCGTTCTTCTAGGGATGCGCATGTGCTGCGAGCCAGCCAGCCAGGCAGCCGGGGTCGGCCAAACTGAGATTAAAAGCTACCTTTTTACAATTACATTTGCAAAAATGCGCCGAAAATTGGAAAAGATTGTTATTTTTCATATTCATATGAAGCTCTATTATGAGACCTAAATGTTTATAATACTTTAAACTGTAAAGAAATAAAGTGTCTCTTCAAACACAGAAATAATAGGTTCTTTTGTATTTTTTCCTGTAGAATTGAATGCTGTAATCAGTATTTGACAAATTTCAAACAAATTATGAACATTTACTAGAAAATTCAGTGTTACTTAAGTCTTGGAGTTTTTTTCGTTTTTTGAACTTCTTCTTCAATAGGGTCTGTAATTTTTTATTTCATCAACAAGTATAGATAAAAGCGAAGAAAATGACATCAAATAGAACTCCCTACGATAAATCTCTGAAGGACAAGGTTCATTTGAAAAAAAATGTTTTTTCCGAAAAACCTCTTAATTTTTCATATTGGAAAAAATTGTTATTTGAATCATAAAAAAGTATATTTCAACCAAGTCTAGTTAAAAGTGTTTCTCGCGATTTTTTCAGTTACTTTGAAGTTATGTGAGAAAGTAACTGGAAAAAGTTATAGAGTTTTTCACAATCTACAACTTTTCCATTCAACACTTTTGTCTCTAGTCTCAACTTTTGCCGGAAATTGCCGTAATACGATTGTCACCCCTTTTCACCCTCCCCAACAACTTAGTTCCACTCCTCTGCTCACGTATTTATTTTTTTTGTATTTGTTGTAAACCATTTTAACATATGCATTTGACAAAGCTTCAATAACAATTTTTTTTTTACTAAAACATGGTTAATTTGCCTGGACTAAAAATACACGTTATTAAATGGGGAGTGAGGCACACGAAATAAATAACTGGGAAATACATTTGTTCTCACTTAAAATCAATTTGGTCGATTGGACATAACATTTAACACATGTTTCCATTCTACGTAAAATTTCATTCATTAAAAATTATTTTAACAAACTACTATGAAATATTTACAGAACAACGTGGTTTCTACCATACTTCCATGAGCTCCGTATAAGCAATCAATGATCGGTGGTGTTCTGCGTGTTAAATTCTACCTTTTGCTTCCTACTGTGTTGAAGATGTCGAATGTTCTCTTTGGAAAACGGTCGGAGGGCGACTAACCCCTTTTTGGTGAAAATGTAAATCTTACACAGCCTTGAAACGACGAGTTTTCAACGAGAAATGCTGCTTCATTGCGATTGATCTTATATCGGTCCGATAGTATTAACATAAGAACGTTGCGCCCATTAAGGATAATAAGATGCGAATCTCGCGTTTTAGTCGCGTATTCTCAATTCACGAACGGTACTGAACGGAACATAATTCCCTCTCGCTAAGATTATATTATGAATGTACATATGTCCATACTTTTGACTTATTGTCAAAATTTGATTACACGACTCATTTCTGGTAAAGAAAAAATCATTTTAGTGAAATCGAGGATAGGTAAAGTTGGCCGCGCCAATTTGATTTTTACAATATCCTGTTTTCTTTAGGGAATAAAATCGCAAACAATCCGGCTGGCTCTTCTTTCTCAAACGGGTGATAATGGATACGTTACCCACCCGAATTCCCCAAAGTAAAAGTTTAATCCTTTTATATGGGAATTTGAAATCTCAGTGTATAATGATTCAAATATACTACTATCCTATTTATACAATGCCAGGAATGTGGATCTCGAATCATTTTCCTCCTAATGTATTGGGATCCCGTGTTCGAATTCAGGAACCTTGTGATTCCAATCTAGGATTCAAATTACCAACCCAACTTCCATGAGCAAAGGAAATTCTTGACTATCGATTTAAAACATTTATCAGAGTGGTTTATCCATTTGCTTGATGAGTAGTTCCATGGAAACCGTATAAATATGAGACAATAGTTGTGAAATGAACCATTCTGGTTCATACGGTTATCTTTAAATGAAGATACTCACGGCCGACTAGCTTCCTAGATCTAAAAAAGTAAATTAGAATGCAAACGATCAAAATTACACAAAATAAGAATTTTAGATAGCGCAGTCAACGCCTCCGGCGAACTGAAATGAATCACGTTCTCCAACTTTTTTTTCGTACACACGGTACAAAAATTCGATTTTAAGTCGAAATTAATTACACATCGCTGTAACTTTTTTAATAGTCTAATAGGATTCTGCCAAAGGATAATAATTAAGCTGTAAGATTTTACAGAAGCTTTAAGAAAATTAATAGAATACCTATAAATCAGCATCCTCATCGTGTGTGTGCAGAAGCATTAATTGTACAGAAATAACTATTATTACGTATATACATTTTTGTAAAAGTCAAGGTTTCCTTAAGATCTCTTTGAGCATCTGTTGCGCCGCTTTTGTTTTACTTCATCAATTGAATTAACAACGATTCTCAAGGATTGTGATAAAAAACAATTATCGCAATAAACTACTAAACCTTCGAAATGCTAATAGACGCATTAAAAAAATATCGCTAATAAAGACGTGAACGTGAAGAACTTATTGTTAACCATTTATAATCGTGACCGAAGAGCTCCGCAAGTATTTTTACCTAGGTACGAACATGGGCTAATTTGAAAATAAAAATAGTAGCTTCAACAAAGAGCCCTAAAAAATACGTTAATGAGAAATTAACTCTTTGTTACCTTATATAATGCAGAACATAAACAGCTTTTAGAAAAGCACCTGTCGCGTATGATTAATGACAAAAGTAGGATGGTGATGATGATGAAGTCCGCTGTCAAATTTGATACGGCATTTTTTTAAAAGCTGTCCTGCCCTTTTCCTATTTATTTCAAAACTTCAATAAACACATGCCTAATTTGGTAGTTATTCCATTCGGTTTTTCTGAGGATTACTCGGTCACGGGTATGTAACCATCTTAATCTTTTGAGGATATCTTAAAAGACAAAGAACAAGTAGTCAGTAAATATCACGGACCATGATTTTATTATGAATTTAGACGGTCAAGGTTCCCAAAGTGCACATACGTAGCAAGTTGGAGGAATTGAAAATCTCATCATTTGCTCTTGTAAAGTTAATATCTTCTTGCATGGAATCTAGAGTAATCTCGAAGGACTATGAACAAATCAGGTGTAGAAAGTACACGAAATTCTTCAATGTGCGAAAAAGGTCATTTTAGAATTGGCAGTAGTAAAAAGTTCTATGGAAGAATCTTCTAAAGTAGTAACGAAGAACAAAGGCAGTGATTTATGACTACGGGCTTTTAGATTAAAGCCGCTGGGTTGGTAGTAAAATTTACGGTTCAATTTAAAACAAGTAAAAAGTGTTATCGTAAACGATTCACGTAAAGCAAAGCGCATTTTAATCATGTATTATTTCGTACTTATAGGCTTATATT